TCGTCCGGAATCCAAATAAAGTAGCGCGACAATTGTTTATCCCGGTTTCGATAAAATGTTCGTAATTCGAACATGAAGTATCTTTAACTAGTTGAAGCAACGCACGGTACACTCTCCATCGATTGCTTTCGAATGAAAAAACGCCGTCGTAACTCGATTCGCCATAATTGAAGCGTGCGCTAATCCAATTTGTCCCATGAACATGAACTCCAAAGTGCTTTTGGCCGTGACGTATACACGCGGCGCACCGTGACTTGTGTTGCACTGTGTTATTATTAATTCTTTCTTTCTATCTTTTTTCACCATTTTCAATTACGCCCGCTCTCGGCCGGAGATGTCGAAGCCATTATTGCGAGCTTGAGTACTTTGTATGCCCGCCATCAAATAAAGTACCCGGACAAATTGCTCCGTTTCTCTCGGTACACGAAAGCAGTTTATTCATACGCGAAGTACCATCTCTGACGTCTTTATATTCGCCATTCGCATAAAAAGTAGAGTAACGCGTCTCTTGGCAATAATCAAAACTTTATAATTCGAACAATTAAAACAACCGTTATAACTAGAAATCGGCGGGGCATCGCAATACCTTTTCACTATACAAAAACAGGTCTTTGCTAAACCTTATGTTTAAAAAAGGATGATCAGAGGGAGAGAGATTAAAATATGCTGTCAAGGACATCATTCTGAGCAACTTTTCTCTATACATGTAACCATCTAAAACCGACGAACGTATCTACAATGGCCTTCATTAATATTTGGACAGACTCCAAAACGGAATAACTTTTTTAGTATTGGACCAATAGACTTGATTTCTTTTTAATAGTAGAATACAGTTTTCTAGTTAGTGTGTAAAAAAGAATTTTATAACATTCCCATGAACCAGAATCATATAGCGTTTTAAATAGATATTTCGCGTGCGCTTGGCTGTAATTTCCTCTTTGCGTGAAGGGAAATGAAATTTTGCGAAAGAAATACTATAATGCATTATCCATGTTATTTAGAAATAAGTTTTTTCGTACCTATTGTGATAGCCTAAAACGATTAATTCTTTGAACAGTTCAAGGTTACTCACAAAAGTCCTATTAACAATCTAAAACTCATTATTTTTCCTGAAGTAGTTTTATAAATGTAATTTCAATCGACAAACATTAACAGTAGGCATATTGCTAATTACAATTTTATACATGTTTTTTTATTACTAGACACTTAATAAAAACGTTTCAATGATTACTAATTATAAGAAATCGCCTGAGTACAATGGTATCAACGATTGTCACGTTTTATTTTCATCCTTATCGTCATCAATCTTCAAAGATAGTGCAATCGATATACGAAATATGATTATACAGGACAAAATGGAGCAATTTTATTTCTATGTTCCAGGACTTCGTCACTGGTCTCAGCATACTATCTCGTGGTTCCATCGACGAGAAACTACGGTGGACGTTCTCGCTTTATGATATCAACGGCGATGGCTGTATCACGAGAGAAGAGATGACCGACATCGTGACGGCTGTATACGAGTTAATGGGAAAATTCGCTGATCCAAATTTGGATCACCAGGGTGTGCGCGAAAAAGTGGATAGGATGTTCCAGGTATGAGTTTTCCTTGTTAGATAAATGTGGGATATAAAAGGAATTTAATAACCAGACGCAAACGGTATTTTTCGCTTCAATTAGCACTATTAATGACGATGAATTTACGCGATTATTTTGCACGGTAATTTTATAATCAACACAGATTATAATGCAAAAAATGTTATCTTTTCTGGAGGAACTCTGAATTGAAAGATGTTCTACTATAATTTGCTCGATGTGATATTACGTCCTTGTTTCGTTCCGTGCACAACGAAAGCACACTCGTTTCGAATACCATCTGGTCATGGACCATCTGCACTGAGAAAGGTATAGAAATGCTGTAAAAATATTGTGGAACTATACTTACGTGTTCTGAACTCATTATTATTCGTATTCATGAATAAAGAACAAATCATATTTCTCGATTTAAACTATGAAATTTTAAAGATACATTCTATTTTCCTCTTAAGCACAGCAAAATGTCTAAACATCTTTTCAAATGCAATTATTTTAGATATACTTAACAACAAAATTCTAAGATTTGTATGCAAAAGAAATAGCAAAACAAATTCTTTTTAATATTGAAGTACTTGAACGTTGTACTTGGCTGTCAATTACTTAAATAAAAACCCGGGGACATGTTACGAGAATTGGAAAAATCAGAGAACTACATAGCTAGTCAATGACCTTTCATCACAAGACATAACAATAGGTTAAAAGTTCCTACGTTCTTTGACAAGCTTGTTCGTTCACTTTGATGGAAGGAACGGGTGGCTGCTCATAAAGCACCCGGTCGACTACAATGATGTAGGAGAGAGAGCTTTTCTTTTTAGCGACTGTCACATTGTTAGCCGCGAATGACAATGTCTTCAATGATGTACTCGTACTTTTTTCTGTTACCTTTTTCCCACGTCGAATAAAAAGCAATACGAATCGTTGCAGAGAGAACAATTTGCGCGAGTGTCTCATACCTTCGATTCGCCGGAGACGAGCTCCTGTTCCTGTTATCCACTATCTTAAGCTACATTGGATTTCTCTGTTCCTCTTCCTCCCTTCGACATTTTAAAAAGAGAACGGAGGGAGTAAAAATAAATATTGAAAATTGTTCTCATCGATTTGGAAAATAATGTTCAATATGCGTCCGACATTCTAATTGAAAAATATGTTAATTGTCTATAAAACATAGTCTTTTAAAAATTATATGGAATGAGTTCATATATCCTATTTATCTACTTTAAAAGGATAATACTTTGGATTAGGAGATTTTATAGCATTTTACAAACTACAGGATACTTGTTAACATAAAAAATGTTTATGCATGGTATCTTATAAAATCCTAATTTTCATTTATAATCAACAGATGTAAATATTTATGGCAAATAATGAATATTTATGAACAATGCATATATGTATAAATACGAATGTATAAATCTGTGCATATAAATAAGCTGTTCACTATAAATTAGTAACTAAAAAAATTACTTACATGAGCATACATAGTAATGTTGCTTTAAAGTTTCTTAATACATTTGTATCTACTGGATCAATCGAGCTTACAGACGGTGAACGTTTAAATTTTCACGAAAAGGGAAGATAACGGGTAATCATTGGCAAAGCTGCCACGAAATCCAACGGCAAATGGACGCGTTTACGGTTGCCGGTTCTCATGTTCACATATGCATGTACGTGTATGCACAAAGACCTAAGAGAACTAACAAACAAAGACCGGAGGATGAGTGGCAAGGCAATTGCTAGTCCACGACTCTAACATGAAATCGCATTGCAAAACACGTGCTGACGTAAATCGTCCTAAATGCCCGAAATTCTCCGAGCGCTCTTCGCTTGCTTGGATTTCACGACATTATTACGAAAAGAATTGAGTGTGCGAAAATGTCAATTAAAATTCTCAATAAAGACCAATTTTGGTGTCAAATAATTACAAAACTACTTCTTAAGATTAATTATGGTAATAAAATATATCCGGAATATAATTTAGAAAGAAACAGCGTATTAATTTCATCTATTACGTTTTTTACAGTTTATAATTTGAATTAATTAGTAACGTAACGAAAATAATAAAGTTGAACTACATGAATATTTGTACGTAACCACGAATAGATTAGTTAATCAAATAATTATAATTAATCAAACAAGGTAAGAGAAATGTAACTCGCATGACCCGTATTCGTTCGCTGCTCTTTTCTTCTGTTGTACACAACAGAATTTTTCAATAAACAGTGATAATGCTACGGAACGTGACGGATTCAATCGGTGCTAATTAATCAGAGAGAAAGCAGATGTAACTGATGCGAGCAACACCGCATTCAGTTCGTTATCCCGTATAGACTTTTAATTAAAAACGAGCAACGTATAGATCGTGGAGAGAAAGGACCGCGGTGAAATCAGTGTTTCATTGTGTCCGAAAACCACCTGCCGAACTTTCGAAAGCTGTTCATGCCCAGTCAAACGTACAGTTTGACGCGTTAATAGAATTAAGCAGCTTCGATAGCAAACAAATAAAAAGCTCATGCAAAGCAATGAAAACTTCCTAGGATTTTGAACAATTAAAAATTACACCTATATATTCACAATGATATTTTTAAAATATGTAAATTTAAATACTATACGACTATAATTATGACGTCCACACGTTGTTTTAAATGAATTTCATTTAAGATAACGGATACTGAAATTACTGCGCAGAGTAACACAAAGCCAAGTTTAATGAGGTGTCAAAGAGTATCGTGTAGCCTTGACTTAAAGCCATGATTAATAGTCACGCTTGAGACTATTATTAAAAACTCTCTTCCTGAAATTTTACAGAAATAAATAAACAATAGATGAAAAATAGTTATATTTCGAAAATCAATAAGTAGAAAGTATAATGACTGTAGTGTGTTCAATAATGATTTAATAATAAATATACATATATGAAATAGAATACTTTGAAGTTCGATCTTATAGTTAACCAGGTCATTAGTAATGTATTATTTTATTTCGAATTAGATAGAATTATGTTCATTACAACTATTAGTTACCTAACTATCTCCACAGTCGGATAGAAAATAATCCCCTTAGAAACTTGATGGTCCTATCGATTGGCAATCTGTGGCGTTCAGTTCCAGCAGTTTGCAAAACAGAGGTCTCAAATTACACACGACCTTTCTAGATACAATCCTTTTGTCTTTCACCATCTCCACCTAGAATACTAATGAGTGCCGACGTTCCAAGCATCGGGTGCAAGCGCACCTACTTCAAACTTTGCCTTCAGTCAAACCACCCAACACCTACAGCTTACGCAAAAGTTCGCACACATTAGTTAGATTGTTCGATGACGGTAATTAATTTATGAGCCATTTCACAGAGATATTTTCAAATATATTAAGAATAAACGAGTCAGTAGTATCGTTTTTCATAACATAAAAAACACGAAAGATATTTAGATAGCCTTCTTTAGCTGAGACACCCTGTATATTATTAGAGTTTAGAATTATTGTTTGAACAAATTCTTAACGTTGCATGTTTCACCTTTTCAAAGAATCAGATTCAAACATGTTCGATCCTTTAATCTTCGAGCCAATCGCCGCGTACGCAAATGCTTAATCCTCGCGAGAAATCTTATGTACAATCCCAATAATCGATGTCGATGCAAATGGAATTGTTCAACTCCGATAATGGACTACTGTTTGCTGTTAAACGTGATTTCAATTATCCGAAGCAACGGAATAAGCCGATGAAACCCTAGTCCCACGCCTACGATTGTTGCTACGCTTTGAGTGCTATGATTTTATATTTTATGTCTTTCATCGATATCATGATGATACCGAACTAATTATACACTTCTATTATACGTAGGTACTCATGATTACGCGTGTAACAGACCTTTGACTTGCAGTTATTACCCTATAGGGATTTGAACCAGTGAATTTACGTGAATGAATCCAGCATAATTATCACTCGATAATGAATGGATATCAGGTGGACACCTAAATGGCTAGTCATGAATCGCAATATACCTGACCATATTACTATATTTATGTGCGATCAGTAATAAGCCGGTTGATGCTGTTGGAAACACGAACACAAACCGAAACGAAGATCAATCAATTTCATTATTATTGTTACTAATATTATTAAAAAATATACGAAATGTACGAAGTGATACATTAGGAAATGTATCCCATATAATGCCACAACCGAGCGTTACGATCTGAGCCAAACCTACTCGTGGCTGGGCTTAGCCGCATTATACAAAAATTCACAATATTTTTTTCCATGAAATCGAATAAAAGAAGTGTGCGTGGCATTCTTTACTGTTGCAGAAGATGGACGGTAACCGAGACGGCGTGGTGACATTGTCCGAATTTTTGGAAGCGTGTCGCGCCGACCCGGACATCTCAACGAGTATGGCGGCTTTGGACACGGCCTTCTGACACTCGGCGCGATCACGATACATGCCATGGACCTGAAGAGATTCTACCGATTTGTAGGAATAAACTCAACGCTCAACGTTGTATTTTGTCTCCTGGACCAGAGACAGGAGCAACCTGCCTGATGGTGTATTGCGGAGATCTTGAAAGATAGGTTCGCGTTTACGTATGCAATTTCTCGGGATCTATTGAAGCGGAGGGCAACGTTATTTCTTGTAACTTGTCCAAACATGGTCGAGGTCGTAGTTACGTTAAACGATCCGAGACTTGACATTGGGATGTCGCTTTTGCTGAGAATATTCCAACGTGAAACGATAATCCTGTAAATTGAAGATCATACGAAATGGTCCTAAGAATAGTGATTGTCCTATCGAGGTTCGTAGTTCTAGTTATCTAGTATGCGTATCGCTAGATGAGAAAGGATTAGATGAAAGAAGATTAAGCAAAGTATATATGTAATATATATATACACACATATATATGTGTATATATATTACAAGAAGAATAATAATAATACCGAACACAGAAGAATGATATAACATGATTGTTAGTAGTTAGGACTGGAAATTGTTGACGAACTGTTTCCAATAGTTCGTTTTTAAAAAACGCGCGCTACAAACGATGAACGAATATTGAAATTTAGGGGAAGAAAGCGTAATTAACAAATGAAAGATGTTATTCGTAACAATGAAACAGGATAGATAAAACTTACTTTAATACGTGGAAGTTGGTTTTTATTGCGAAGAAAGCGAGTCAGTCATAGAGCACAGTACGTCTTAGAGAAGGTGAAGAAAATCTTTGCAGGGCAGTTTAGGATGTGAAGAAATAAAATGTGCCATTGGGAGTTGACGTAAATTGTACGTGGCATTGTTCGTGCCAAAGTGTAGTTCCATAAAGAAGTATGAAGCACAAATTTTTGAAATACTTCTGTGAAAATAATTGAGCTTAGCTTAATATTATTATTCTCATTTCCGTCTTTTTTTAAAATGTAACGTACGTCGACAAGAAAAATAAAAGTTGTCACCGTAGCTCATGTTTTATATTAAGAAATTGTTACGTGGAATCTTAACGATTTATGATAAAAGATGTAGTATAGTTTTCTACGATAAAACATGTTTTATTACGTCTATCGTTTGTTGCGTCAAAACGTCGCCATTACTTTCACGCGTTTCATTCAGGTAATTATCCATTCGTATAACAAATTGACGTAGTTTTAAAACACAAACAAGTCGCCACTTCTTAATGATATCATAATGTCAAGTTACTCAGAATAAGGCAACAGACACGAATTTAATTCAATTCGCTTGTAACTAACGAAGCGGAACATTTCATTTTTCCTTTGCCGAAGGATAGAAAACCACCGATATATTTTCATTTTGCACAACGAGACATTACAGCGAGTGGAGATAGGTCGCGTATTCAATGCAAGGTCTTTTCCTGAACGTTGCATCGCAACAGGGTTTCAGATTTTCTAATTGTCGCAGTGACAATTAACAATCACATTTTTTTAATTTCACTGATTAATTGGAGTATTCTTTACTCAAGCATTAAAATTCAATTGGTAATTCGAATTTCTCATAATAAAACTAATCAAACAATTTTAATACACAATTAGTGAAACTTGAATTAAAAATTAAACTTTAGTTGCTAATTGGTGTTCAAATGAATTAATGGTTTAATCGCATTTAATAAACATACTAAACAAATAAAGAAAATTTGATTTGCAACCCTGCATCGCAGGCTAAAAACGGGTAGCATGAAATTCTCGAATACGGCTTTTAAAGATAATAAACCCAAGAATTTGCGTGCTACGGCGAAACGCACGACAGATATAAGATTATAAACAAACTGTACGAATTTGCGAAGAGAACAAACGAAATGTATAATTAACGCGAGATGTAGAAACTATAAAAGAAATATCGTAAACAAAGAAAGAGAAAACCGCTAGGACGGTTGGGCATATTGAGCGGGACTCGTTGTTTCTAGTATGTAAGCGAGTAGTTTAAGCGATATAATAAAAGTATTTATTTTTGTGACAGGTAAGTGAATCATATTAATTATGGTAAGACTTTAGCTCATAAAGACTGCGTGCTGCTAAACAAAGAGAATAAAGCAGAGAATGGATGGAGAGGGAAAAAAGAGAAACGATAACACAGTAACGGAAACAGGCTGTTGATTTCCCATTTAAATGATCTACGATTAGGAGCCGATGATACCGAATTTTATTGTAATTAACTAACGTTTTGCAATGACTGGACCAAAGCGTCCGCGACAGGCGGTAACGATTTCCGAACGAGATATATATTTAATCATTTTCCATCACTGCCTACTTCTGATTAACTGTAAATAAGGTCGGTATAAATTGAATGAACTGGGCGAGACTCGCAAATACATCGAAAACCCCGAGTCTATCATAGTTCAGCACGTCCTAAAGAACGAACAAGCAAACACATTAATATAATCAAACGTGTAGAATCATTTGAAGAGTACCGCTAGAAATGTTTTCTTTCATATAGTATTATTAAATTCGCGAAATCGTATTGCTTATTTCGATGCTTTATAACAGCTTGAGTTATGTATAGCAGCGACGTTTAAACATCGCACTATGTATCTCATTAAAAAAAAAAGATGGCTATAAACAAAAAAGGAACGATGGTCAGGACGCATATTTAAAGGAGAGGAAAACGAAGGTTTAAGAAAATAGATCTAGGCACGACGAAATACCGGAATAGAGATTTCTCCGATTTTTAGCAGCGCCTACACTTAGGGTATAAGATTTACGTATAAAATGTGAGGCAAACATGTCAAAGCGTTGCCTCGTATCAACTCGATCACTACCGCATGTCTTTGAAGTTACTGATATAAGTATAGAAAAGACAAGGGGCAAGAAAATAATTATTATGTTCTTATTGCTAGATATTTTCATTCTCAGCAGACTGTTGGATTTAAATACCAAACGAACGTAAAAAAAATGTCTACATAGTTGATTGAGAATACGATATCGTCATAGACTTTTTTTCCGTTGGCTAATTGATATTTCATTATTGCTACTATGAATAGCAGCGAAATTACTTTGCTACTTGCCATTGTATCATCAAATCTAGCTAATCGTATAAGAAAAGTTTCTTCCTCTAATTCACACATGAAAAGTTAGACGACATGAGAGAATATCGAAACACTTGTCATTATGCTATATTAATTCTATCATGTATCACACATGCATAGACGCCTACTGAAGTATAGAGTTTGGAGCATCTTAGAGTTCTGAAACACAATAACTTTTGCTAATTAAACAAATATTTTATTCAGAATATTGTTTCAATACAATAATCAAATTTTATATCATACACTTATTTAAAAAAACAAAAGAATTACAATATTTTACAAAGTTTTAGTTAATGCCCCAAACTTTGAAGTAGTAGTGTCCAAGCGTAATACACAGCAACACTTTAGACCCAACACCAACAAGCGCATACGTGCACGCACGCACACTTTATCACGTAAATACTAAATTGTCTTGTCTTATGAATAGTATGTCTAAGGCCTTGCGTCTGTAAGATCTTTTACTTACATATATCATTAGAAAACTTGACCGATGATCATCAATTGAGTGATTGCAAGTACCCCTTGGAAAAATCTCGGAAAAATCGAAAATTT